ATTTGCAGGACGAGGTTCTAATTATTACTGAAAAGGTACGTAAAGTATTTAAATTCTACTTAATAACATTTACTATTTATTTTTTATTGCGTGCGTTAGATTGAAAATTAAGTATAAAAAAAGTATTTGTTACTAAAAAATTTCTCAAAAAGATATTTTAAATTTAATTTGAACTATATATATGGAACTGCTCATTTCGGGACACACCTTTTCTAGTAAGTCAAATATTCAAATTTGATAAAATATGCTGTCAATATTGCTAAAATTTTGATTACTCAGACTCTGAATAATCATTATTCTAATATAGTTCTAATACGATAAATTAACAAATTGGACAAATATTAGACAAATAATTCTACATATTGTCTTAGATATTTAAATAAAAACTGCAAAGTTTTCAATGATATTGACACATTATATAAATATTTTTATATAAAACCTACAAATATTTTTGTAGGCAGATCCATTAGATCATCATATTTTCTACATGAAAACAGATAAAGCGCAACCAATAAGAGCAAAAGTATCGCCCATGTTCACACCGAGCAAACTTAGGAGTATGGTTCCTATATGCCTAGAACGCTCGAAAAATTTCAAAGATTGGTTGGACACACTGTTATCGCGAAATGAAGAGATAAATTATAGCGATATGATAGAAAAATATATCAGTGACTTGAGTACTACTTGTCTATTTGGTTATGACTTGGAGGCTCTCAAAGATGGTGAAAATAAAGTTTTACAACAAATAAGAAAGGCAGTTAGTGCCAATACATGGAAAAATATATGCAAATCATTGCTACCAAATATAGTAATGCAGAACAAATTATATGATTTAATCGGTTACTATATGTTTGGCAATGCGCAAGAATGGCAATTTTTTACCGCGTTAGTCAAAAATATTGACAGTTACAGAAAAAAACATGGTATTGATAGGCACGATCTTACTAACGTGATCATGGGATTGAAACAAAACGGTAAGTTGACTAAAAACAGGTAATTGCTTTTTACAATTCTTACAATTTCTATAGTTTAAAGAAATAATAAAAAGTTGATAGGAATATTCACTCATATTAAACACTCATGCTATAAAATAAAGTGTAAATATTTAAAGTACAACTTTTTATATTTTTTTCTCTAGAAATTACGGATCAGTTGGTTGTTGCAAATATTTTTGCATTTATGGCCGCATCTGAAACATCTTCTGCAACGGCAACTAATACTATGTATGAATTAGCTTTAAACCAATCAATCCAGGATAAACTCCGCGAAGAAATCAAAAGTGTACGCGCAAGCAATAAAGAAAAGCAAATAACATATGATGATATAAACACAATGTCTTACTTGGACGCAGTATTTAAAGGTAAATTCGACTGTTATGCGAAATTACAGAAAAAAAAAAAAACAAATAGCTGTCTAACTTGAAAATTGTCTAATAAATAATAAATATCTTATTCTACAAATATATATTCCCCAAATATATACCTACATATATGATAATCATGTTAATTTTTAGCAGTTTGATATTAATAATAGTTAAAATATAACTTTTATTTTGTTTATAACAATAAAAAATCTATTAAAAATTTTACTATTATTATATTTTCAGACATTCTTATTATCCTTATTAAAGAAATGTCGATAGTTTACTGACGTCAAATTTTTTTGAATTGCTTACATTGATTCTTAAATTTTTAATAAATTTGTAGCTATATTTTATACTCAAACAAAACATACAAATATATGAGAGGTTCAGAGAAAAAGTGAACTAAGTTCCTTTCTTAATCCGTGTATAAATTAGAAAGACTAAATAGTTTTTACTGAAAGATTTAAAAGTGAGTACAAATGTTTACTTTAAAATTAAAACAAACTACAGTACTTATGAAAAACAATATTGCACACAATTAGAATAATTAAGTTCTAACAACGAACAATTATAAAAATAAAGTTGATCCACTTTTCCTCTGAACCCCTTATATAACTATCTATGGATACTACGGATACGAAGAAGTATATATGAATACTTAAATTTGCATAAAGAAGCATTGACAGTTAAAAGATAAGAAATAAGAAGTTGAATTTCAATTATAATTTTTAATGATTTCCAGAAACGCTCCGAAAGTATCCGATAGCAGATGTAATAGGGAGACAGGCTATATCATGCTACACTTTTAGAAATTCTAAAGTCACCATCCCGAAAAATCAACTAGTTGGTATACCTGTTTGTGGTATTCATTATAATCCAGATATATATCCGAAACCAGAAGTTTATGATCCTGAAAGATTCATCGATCCAAAAACAAAAAATTCCATGCATTATTTCCCCTTTGGACATGGTCCAAGAAATTGCATTGGTATGTAAAAACAATGTTTAGTTATTTCAATAAAGCATGATTAATATATATATATATATATAATAATTAAACAGTCATACAACAAATAATTATATAAAAATTATTCTTTTGTCCTTTATGGTTATTAATATTCCGTAGGTGAACGGTTTGGCATACTAGAAACAAAAATAGTGCTTATTACTATTATAGAGAATTACAAAGTGGAACCATGTGAAAATACAAAAATGATATATAACTGGGAAAAAATAGTTCAACAAACAAGAAGCATGTATCTTAAATTGACTAAGATCAATTGATGTTTATGCCTAATCTTCATATCTTGCACTAATGTGTTAATTACTTAGTTGTTCAAATATTAACAAAACTGATTTTGTTAAAGTAATAAGAAAAGCATTTATTCGGAAATAATGTATGTATTATTTTATATATTTTCCCTGGGATTTGAGACACTTTTCTCAAATTTCTGATAGTTTCTTTATATCTTTTTCCAAAAAGATTTCTAGCGGAGTACATATGCAGTTTTGCACGCGGCCGACGAAAGTATGATATAATAGAAATTTTTTAAAATACTTTTTAAAACATAAGTTGTTCTATATATAATATAAATATACAGTAGTTTTTTATATATATTATTATATCATATTGACTGTGAGCAACGATAAACCAATAAGCTATTATGATTTAACAATCCTCATAAATATCTATGTCTAAAAAATAATAAAATTTTGAAAACACGGAAAAACTTACTAATATCGCAGAAAAATGTCATTGTTAAACGCTGTTATCTAACAAAAACTAATGCTTCGAAAAGTATTTCAAAATATTTCTATTATATAAGTTTGTGGAAGTTAATATTTATGTAATTTTATTTAGTAATAAAATTACGGTCAGCAACAGTAATTTTGTCATATTTAACATGGTGGTAGAATAAAATAATTGGTGCAAAAAAATATTTTTTAGAAATTTAACTTTATAATAATGCTAATAGTATGCTTAATAAAGCAACACGCATTGCAAATTTGTAAATAAGTATGTGCGTGCAATTGTTAACTTATCACTCAATAGCTACGTCATAGTTTCAAGATACATATCTTAAAACAATTTACAAAAAAATAGAAGCGTATAAAAATAGAATATAAACATTTTAAACATTTATTTTTATATGTTTGCTCGCCTAAATCATTAGATAGAATTGTTCTTTCTTCAATAGGTGAAGTAGTCAAAAGTACGCGTAAAATTTGTATTAGAGTGTGACTGCATATTCTAGATATTTAAACATTTCTTCCATTTCTTTAACGTAAGTAGCAAATTTGTTAAATTATATTATTTGACATATTAAATAACTAAAAAAGTTCTTGTCATTTTTTGCTAATCGTAATTCTCGGAATTGTTTATGTCAATAATGATTAATTGTGCAGGGAATCTTTCACTGCAAAATACATACGTCACTTTATTTAATTATTGTGTTTTAAGCTATAAAGTTCAAGTTAAATAAATATTTTAACCCCCTAAAATATCTGTTTAAATAAGCGTGATTCGCGTGCTTATTCATTGTACGAGTATAAACTTGCATTAAAAAGCATCAAAAGCTTGCCAAAAAATTTAAAGAGAAGTAGTAAAGTAAAAAACTATTCGGTACTGGTTTAAAAAATTTGTATTAGAGGATAAATCTCTAAAAGATGCTTACTGGTCAGAGAGAAAGATATCTCTATAATAAATCTATCTATAATAAATCTCTATAAATAATGACGAATTGAAGTAACAATCGTAGCAAATTCGAAATTAAACATGTTAAGAACTTGCTATTGCATTCAGTGTAAGTGAAATCATCAGATTATATTTATAGCAGTCTTTTTTAAACAATTCCAAAAATTTTGACAAAAAACGCTAAAAATATTGGTTATCTAATATATGTATAAAACTATTAATTTTCATGGATATAATGATATTATACCCATGAAAGATAATACTCCTAATATCAATATACATCATTTAAAATCTTTGTATTTATCTTATAATTATGACGAATTTTTTAACAGACACCAAAGATGTTAGGATTTCTTGAAATTTTATACGTATTCATCGCTTTCTTCATTGTACTATATTATTATTACAAGATAAAATTCAATTTCTGGAAAAAGCGTGGTATACCTGGGCCCAAACCTATACTATTTTTCGGCAACACAAAAGATGTCATATTGCGAAGAATGAACATAATGGATTTTCACAAAGAGTTATACAATAAGTATAGAAATGAGCCACTAATAGGATTTTTCTACCAAACAGAGCCATTTTTATTCGTCAACGATCCTGAATTGATCAAGGATGTCTTAATTACAGATAGTGCAGTATTTGCAGGACGAGGTTCTAATTATTCTGAAAAGGTACGTAAAGTATTTAATTTCTACTTAATAACATTTACTATTTTATTTTTTATTGCGTGCGTTAGATTGAAAATTAAGTATAAAAAAAGTATTTGTTACTAAAAAATTTCTCAAAAAGATATTTTAAATTTAATTTGAACTATATATGGAACTGCTCATTTCGGGACACACCTTTTCTAGTAAGTCAAATATTCAAATTTGATAAAATATGCTGTCAATATTGCTAAAATTTTGATTACTCAGACTCTGAATAATCATTATTCTAATATAGTTCT